TCAAAAAAGACTTATGTCTTTGAGATTCACATAAAAAATTTTTTTGAGGATTAAAAATAACCTTTGATATTTACAAAAGGCTTATTGATGACATGAATCTTTCGACTCGAAGCTGTCAGTGATGTTCACAAAATAATTCACATCAGATACACTGAGGTTTTTAAAGTCTGTTTGATGTTTACAAAGAACTTAACGCAGACAAATAAATGATGCGTCCTTGCCGCCGCCGATTCTTTATCTCTGCGCTTGGGTCGTCTCAACTTGTTCAAACTTGTTGCGTTAGCCCGATAACATCGTTTTATCTGTATGTGAGCGCACGCGTGTCGATGCCGGATTAATCATTGTAATGGAAAGCGCACGCCTTTTGCGAGGAACATATTTTAAATCAATTTTTTACGTGGGCTGCGGCAGCCTGCAGGAAGACGAGTCACCCAAGTCAACGGGAAAAGAAACCGCGAGAAATAGAATGGCAGCAAGAGTGGAAAACAGCGCCATCACGAATCATACAAAATGACCATTCAGTGACGGCACAAAACAGCCGAACAGCAAGCCAACATTTAGTGCACAAATTGATTTTGTTCCATTTTTTTTTTTACACAAAAATAAATCCCCACAAAATTGTAATATTATTCCGGTTTTATGTTTGTCCTGCATATCATTCCATAAACGTAAAAATTATAAGGCCTACTCACATTATAGTTTAGGACAACATAAGTCAACTAATCCATGTCTTCCATCTAGTGGTTAAGAGGAATATTACAACTTAAAGCTATACAGTGGAGCCCCGCTACTTGTGGGGTGATAGAAAAAAAATAATCTGCGTAAAACGGGCGACTATTGAAATGTATTGGATTTTTTTTCTTTTGGAAACCCTCCAAAAATCTTCAAATAAACCTCCAACATACATTTTCCATAAAATATCACATTATCGACATTTCGCACCTATAAAAATAGGGCTGAATTGCACATCCAGATGAGTTGAAGAGCATGTAAAAAGAAACGCAGGCGTCATCTGCACTAAAACAACCGAAGCGCACCTTCAAGGAAAAAAAAAAGGGGAGAGCAAATCTGCCGCCAGCCGCTGACCCAACCTGACCCATTTGTGGCTGATTTATGCTTCACAGGCCCTCAGCAGACACAACTTTATTCTGCCGGGGTCATAAATCTCAGGCTCCTCAGTGCCCATCAAGTGACCAGACAGACCTCCGCCTCTCCCCGTCCGTCATACACCGACACTACCTTCGCTTCTTTTCAGGGATCACCTGAGCCACATCGCGGGCACTTCATCAGCCTGAGCAGACAATGGCGGCAACCACTTTCTTCATAAAACAAACTGTGAAGATGCTCATAGAAACACTGCTCATTACATTAAAGAATAGAAACCATTTGTTGTTTGAAAAATGTTTCCATTATTAGGCGTGGTTCATCGAATTACATGACTTTAAATTATACAAGCTAACATTAGTTTGGTTGGCTCAGGACTAAAGTTCTCTTGACGCTTGCGTAAACGTTTACCTGAAGGTTCCTTCAAGATGCTGAATTGTCTTTGATGGTGAGGAAAAATGCACATTTGGTTCTTCCAAGAGGAAATTCTTTGATTACGCAAAAACACACGGACGAATCTCAGTTGGTCTTAGATGTTTCCAAGAACGCAAATTTTAGGACGTTTCCGATGGAAGCTGAAATGTCTTTTGATGTTTACAAAAAAATATATGAGCGTCAGTGAGGCACTAAACTGTCTTGGAATTTTCAGAACGCATTTAAACAATGTTGAGAACCAAGCGCCAAAAGCTTCTACTTGGCGCACGATGACGAGAAGTGTCACGCCAAGCTAATTAGACGTACGGGTGACAGAAGCGGGACACGGCTCCATAATTCATGAGCGCCATTGATGTGGCGACAGCATGCAGATGCCCACCTGAGGAAAGAGCGGAGGAGTTTGTGGTTAGGAGAGATGGGACATGGGACGTTATCTCCTCATCTCTGCCATTTATTGATCGAGGCGACGCGGCGGCGGCGGCTTCAAAACGTGCGGCAGGTAGAAAGCAGGGTTGCGAGGAAAGCTGCCTAAACGGAAGCGACGGGCCATCTGAAATGTTTGTTCACGAGTTAGCGGAATGAAAAAAAACCCTTCAGTTTCAATGCTAATAAATGTGCTCTGGAGGCTCTTGTGAGTTGCAGAACCTCGTCGGCATAGTTTGAAAACAGCAACGGACACACCAAGTCCAACACCTGAGTCATCAGCATTTACAGAAAAATGTGCGTTAGCTTCACAGAAGACTAGATTGCCCTTGTTTTCAAAACAATTGGATCACAGAAGATTCAGAAATGTCTTTGATGTTTTTAAAAAAATGACATTAAGCTCTGTTGACAACTGCACATGGTCTTTGATGTTTTCAGAGAAACGATAACACCTTTGTTTAACGACAAAAAGTCTTCAAAACGTTAACGGAGTCGACTGAACTGCTTTTGAAGTTAAAAAAAACAACAAAATAAAACAATACAAAAATTTGCTTTATTGAAGAGTTGACAATCTTTCAAGAGTTACAAAAACACGATGCTGGCCTCCGTTAAAGACGTTGAGGTTTTCGAAAATTGTGATTTTAGCTTAATAGGGAAGATTATTACGTTGTCTTTTTTTAAACATAGTTTTCGCTTCTGAGACCCTAAATTGCCTTTGGTTTTCACAAAAACGCGCATGTGGTCTCTTCGTCACAGACTAAACTGTTTTTTTCCCCAAAACATTCACATTCACTTCATTGAAATATCTTTGATTTTTTTTTTTCCAAATATACTTTTATTTCATGATTTAACAAAATAGACTCGAAATTGACTCGATGTTTCCTAGAACATGTAAAGTCTGCAAGGTTGAAGTCATACGTGAGGGGCATCAGCAGCGTTTATTTCGTTTGTGCGAGTAGAATGAGTCACAGGGACCTTTTTGACCTACACTACGGCAGATAATCAACACTGGGAAAGGAAAACAAGGGGTGTCATGGGAGGGGGGTGTCAAGAGACACCACAACCAATATTGCTATCATTTGTCTAAGCTCTCGCGGAAGATTCTTGGAAAAAGGACAACAATTAGGATACAGTCGCAGTACAGACAGGATTGAGAATTCAAATTAAAATGATGTGGAAAAAAATAAAAAATATATTAAAACGAAAGGAATGCATTTCATTGAACATCGCTGAAAGACTCGAGCGGATAAAGCGAAGAACATTTCATTAAAGTTACGTACAACAAAGTGTACATAGTGTACATAAATTAAATACCTGTGGCTAATTAAGAGACCGGCTATGTCTAATTCAGCTCAGAGTGGAAAGCAAATGTTCTTAATTACAGAGACTGGGGAGCGCAAGTGTAATACGGGGGAGGAAAAAAAAAAAAAAAAAAAAACATTCCTAAAATGCATCGACTTTTAGGACCATTCGAGACAGCGAAGAATTTGAATATTAATCCGGGTGTCGTCTCACTTACTCCATATTTATGTTCATAAGTTTTGATACTGCACGGCGCATTTTAATTAACCCCGGGACGTGCATCAAGGAGGAGTGTTTTATTACATTTACAGGCAACCTTGATGCAAAATAGGGATACAATATGGACAAAATGTTTGACGACATGGCTCGCTGCATGCCTAGCTGCATTACAGTATGAATCCTGTTCATTCTGAGCTGGATGCTGCCAATCATTTCAGGGTAGGGAACACCGTGCCCTCTTATTAAAAACTAAAAAATCCTGTTCATGTTGAATGAGCACAGCACGTCCAACCGCTTGCGGTGCGGCAAGATGCTTCTTTTCTTTCCAGGAATTTCGGTTTTATGATCTAAGAGAGTTGACATCCATGAGTTCAAAGGTCGTATATATTTTTAGATTCGTGCTGACTAACAGACATCTGGCATTTCTTCCCCTTAAGAACACTAAAATGAAAGAAAGCAAAAAAAAAAAAGAGCTCTTTTTGGGAACAAGCTGTGGCTCCGAGAAGCTCTGTCCACCTCTGGTGACCCCTAGTGGGCCGGCAGCAGGAAGTAATGAGCCACTGTTTGGCTGGGGAGTGATGTGCGGCATGGGGGGGGGGCTGCGGGGTGTTAGGGGTGAGGACGCCAGCGGCAGAAACCCAAACGTGATGTAATTCCTTCGTCGCTTTGTGAAGGAGGAAGCCTGACCTTGTGGAAGGGTGACTCCTCCTTTTGGCGTTTCATGTGATTAAAACCCACAACAACAGTCTCTGGTTTGAGCAGAGAAAGGGACGGAGAGAGCCGGCAGCACCAGAAAGTCTCACACACACACACAAGAACAAAATAAATGTTCCGGTGATAAAAATGCTGAGTTTTGATTTACAGGGCCGTGTTTCTTAATATGTTGACCCATTTCTCATGGAGCTGCCGCCACACAAATAGCAGAAGAAGGACGGTGAGTGTGGCAGCAACATGAACTCACACACACACGGGAACGACAAGAATTTTACAAAAGAGTAATGCTCATTTTTGATGGACACAGCACTTTTTCTACATAGAGCACCTATCCAATATTGTGGAGGTGCTGCCACACACAGCAGAAAAAGGACAGAGGGAGGTGGCAGCAAAAACTAAGTCAAATAAGCTCATGACAATTTTTCGAGAGTAAAAAGTAAAGCTCCATAACAATAACTAAATCCGTAAGTAAGTCATTAAGTTCATTAATAGTGATAACTAAAACACCTTTATAGTCATCAGCAAAATCGTCGCGAGTAATTAGTAAATGGCAGTAGGTAAAGCAATCAACAGTTATAAGTTGGGATGGGCCATTATCGATACCAAAATTATCGGTATCGGACCAGTACTAGCCTTATTTTTAAGTATTGCGGAGGCTGCGATACAAGCCACCGATACTTAAGGCAAAAAAAAAAAAAAAAAAAAAGGCATCGAGTAAGCTGCAGCAGTAGCTGGCGCCATACTGTGAACATTTGACACATGGGTGAATCATCATCTGCATTACAAAAAAAGTTTTTTGTCCAATTTTTTTGTTGCCGTTGTGTTAATTGAAATTTGATCTAAGTACTTGAGCAGAGGTCTCCAATCCTGTTCCTCAACGGCCGGTATTCCAGATGTTTTCTCTATCCATTCTGCAACACACCTGATTCATATGAGATCTGCAAAAGCTGGCTAATAATCCTTCATTGAATCAGGTGTGTTGCAGCAGTGAGTTATGGAAAACAACCAGGAAATCAGCCCTTGAGGAGTAGGTATCGAAGACCCCTGGACTAGAGGTATCGGTACTGGGTATCAGTGAGTGCTCAAGGAGTGAATACTTATGCCGGTAACGGTCAGGAAAAGTGGGAGTAAAAAGTAAATAAAACAGTCATAAGAAAAACCTTCCAGAGTCATGAGCAAAGCCATGCATAAGATGTAAAGTCATCCAAAGTAATAAGTAAAGCAAACCATGCAAATAAATAACTCAAGCCATCAATAGTAAAAGGGAAACCCATTAAGTCATACCATCCACAGTATTGAGTAAGTCAATAGCAATAAGTAACGCTATCAAAAGGTAATAGTAATAATTAAATCCACCCAAAAAGTAAGTAAAGTCATTCCCCCAAAAATCCATTAAAAGTAAAAACCAATCAATGATAGTAAGTAAAGTCACCGATAAAAACAAAGTCATGCCGATTGACTCGCACGTCCACATTCACTTACGGACGGACGCGCGCGCGTCACTCACCTTCACGTCAGCACGACGTCGATGTCTGCCACAGGAATGCCGGAGCTCGGGGAGCACAGCGCCAGGCGACCCCACCACAAAGCGCCGGTCGGGCGGCGCTGCAGCCACAGGAAGGCTGCAGCCGCGAACGTCCGCACAGGCGTCGGCACCTCCTTCTCCTCTCCACCCCCTTGCCGCCTCGTCCGGTGCCAACCTCGGTCCACTTTTTTTGGGGGGGAATTATTTTCTTCTTTTTTTAAATTTTTTAAATATTTTTTAAATTATTTGTTCGCTTTGCCGTCCGAACTGCTGCCGTATCCCAGAGGTGCCATCAGTCGAGATTCTGAGCGCGTCTGCCGCTGCGCTCTCGGAGCGGATGCTCGCGGCGGCGCGGAGCTGAGAGCTCGGGAGGGGCGGTGCGAGAGTGAAGCAGATTGGAGGGAGAAGTGGAGAGCTCGCTCCAGCTGTGTGCACGCTTGTTCATCGAGTCGAGGCTGGCCTGGACACACCTGTCAAGAAGCACGCGCACACTCACTTAATTGACGTCAACGATAACAGGACTTTCGTATAAGCAATGTTTTTTTTGGGAAATGGAAAAGAGCCCATGCCGGAATAAAAATGTTAAGTTGGTTCAGACATATATAACAATCAATTGCTTGATCTGAGAAACTGATCATTTTGGGGTGGTCTGTTGGGTGTCATAAGCAGGTTGCAACAGAGATACACAGAGACTGGAGGAGTTATAGAAAGGATTAGAACTGGATGTCCCTGGGAATTTTCGTGGTTCAAAAAAAAACACCTGTTGGGAATTCAGCAGTTCACCTGCTTATCATATGCATATTTGTCATCGTTAATTTGGTCACAATTGTGAAGTCACTTGTTGCTAGGCAGAATTCATGGGGCTGAATGCACTTGGACACCAACGTCCAATAAAATGTATTTCTAGGAATTTATCTTAATGTTTTTAATCAGTTCATTTGGCCTTTGGGTGAGGTCACTTGCTGCTTGGCAAAATTAATCAGGATTTACTTGCAACAAACTCCAATAAAATAGATTTAACTGGTAGCTCTATCATTATGTCAACAATTTGATCCGTTTGTTGATTCGGTCCATTTGTGAGTTCACCTGTCACTCGACAGAATCCAGTGGGCTCAATCACCTGCCATCCAGTCCAATAAAAACAGTTGTACCTAATTAATGCGTCACAAGTGCGGTTTCCTTGGCAACATGTAAGGATTACATCATATACATAATAATAAATCATTTGATTTGATCAAGTTACACGTTTGTAAGGTCACTTGGTAATTGGCAAAATTCATGAGGTGCAATATTTGCTCACCACAAACCATTATAATAGATTTCACAGGAACAATTAAAACAACAGTAAAAAAAATAAATAAATAAAATATTCAATTAACATCTCACCTAACACCTAAGATAAGCAATAGGTGAGAAACCGCAAGTGGCTCCTCTTATTTCCTTTCCTTCTTATTTGTCTGCTCACAACGATAACACATGATTGTGTTCATCTACTTTGTACATAACAATTAGCAAATAACTATTAATGCAGAACACTTTTTTTTTAACCCGCATTATTTTCCATAACATTTGCATCGAGAAACACTGATTAACCGTTGCACGTTCCGTTTGGCGTCAGCGCGCGGAAATTATGTCGATTGTCTTGCGCATTAAAATGCCGATTGCATTATTTAAAAAGCCAGCCGGCAATTATTCCCATTCTGTTTTACTTTCAAATAAATTTCTTTCTTAGCGTTGATGAGCGATGACAGGCGCAAATGGAAAATTGTTCTGTTCATGTGTGTAAAACAACTGCCCATTAATACATACTTTCAGTTTTGAAATAATAAAAATGACGGAAAGTCTATTCGGTCCAAAAGAACCAAACGTAGAGGCAACCGCTAGCTGTCTTGCTAGCACCTAGCACGCTAAGATAATGTAGAAGTCAACTTTATTGTTCAGTTTTTTTTCTTGTCAAAAAAGATGGACTAAAATGACCACCACCACAAAGTCCAATCCTAGAAATGAAACAAAAACCCGTGGAAATATGAATTGTATTATTGTCTCTAAATTCATGCAGGCCTTTCGGAATTTGAACTATTGTCATGCTTGGCAAGATGATTGAGTTCCCAGAGGCTTTATTTTGCTTTTTCTTTGGCTTTTCTGCAAACACAAGAAGGAGCAGCCTCACAAGCAGTGTTGAGAAGAAGGCGATAGTTAACAGCGGGAAGCAGGGTGCTTTGTATTCCTGATGCCTGTCAACATGGCCCGGTATCATCTGGTATGGCCGACAGCCCGGGACTGCCACTGACAATGAAACGTACACACAGTGAAATATTTCAAGACGCCGCGTCGTTGACTCTGTCTCAGCAGCAGTAAAAAAAAAAAAAAAAAAAAGCCTGTAAAACGTTATGGCTTGTGCGGAACTTGAGAAGGAAACAAAAAATGGAAAGCAAAGGAGAAACCTTATTAAACTCATAAAAAGTAATGTATCGAACATCTAAGCACAAGGCTGGATCAGTCTTTGGATTCTTTAGTGAAATGTTCTTGTCTTTTTAAATTGAAGCTGTTCCTTTATGTTGTACAGGCACTGTTTAAGGTCAGGTTGATAGTCTTACAGGTGCATATATATATATTCTTTGATGCTGGCTGAAATGGGAGTTTTTACTCAATGTAAATGACAGAAATGGTAAAAACCAAGTCCATTTTGGTGTTGGTGGTTGGTGTACCAAATGGCTCCCTGAGGTAGCATTGTTGTCGCAAAGCAACGGTCACAGGATAGCTCGCGGGCTTTCGAGAATGGCTTGGGAAAAGCCGGAGTGACAATTAGCGGAGTGACGCATCTGGATGAGTCACGCCTTACGGTCGAATCACCACCGTGCCGCTTACAGCCAAAAATAGCTCAGACCCCTTTTGCAACAACACAAGAGTCAAAACTCAACATAATGCACTACTTACCAAAACACAACATTTCCTCACATTTCTTTTTCACTTGGATGGTGATAATTTAAGAAGGGCTGTTGTCACTGTCATGCTGCATGAGTTACGACAGTGAATGGTTTGTTTGGGCATAATCTTTGATTTCTTTCCAATTGGTGTCACTGAAAACGATGACGAAGAAAAATAGCACTCTATAATATTATACTTATAACATATATATATATATGCACACGGTAGTTACATAAATACAACCATTTTTGTCACACTTTTTGCTTTCATTCACTTTGCGTTCTGTTGTATGCACCATGGCCACCTGAGGGCAATTTAATACCAACTTATCAGTATAGCAAAATATTAGTCGTTCCTTGCAAAGGTTAAAGAATATATGCCTGTCACAATTGTTATATTTGTCTACATGTGTTGTTGCAATGTTGGCCGTCAGGCATCTTTTGCTTAATGGGTAGCCATACCACCATACAGATGCTAATTGTTAGCCCATGTGCCTAAGACATTTCCTTTGTATACTAACATTAAGATAGCGGTAGCGGGAGTACCTTCGACTGAGAGTGGGAATAAATGATACGATGAGGCATCCAAAAGAGAACAAAAAGTTTTCTCTGATTTCTTTCCACTAGGATAGAGATAAATCCCAAAGATGATAGCCACGGGCTGCTTTCAGTATTTTGCTGCACAAGTCATGACAGTCCAGGGAATGCTGCTATGCATCTAAAACAAACAAGGACATTTTCTCTGATTTATTTCCAATTGGATAGCCCAATGTTGCATTGCCATGGTCAGAGTGCCTGGGATGCTGTTCTGCATTTAAAACAAAACAAGACATTTTGTCTAATTTCTTTCCACCTGCAGCACTATTTATCACAAAGAAGAAAATCACGAAGGGCTGTGGTCGTTATTACAATGCAGTGGTCATCCCAGTGCATCGTTTTCTGCAGGAAATGGAATCTTTTTTTTTTCTATGTAACACATTAAAAAAATTTAAAGAACCAGATGAGGCACGACTGGTTAGTACATCCGCCTCACAGTACATAGGTCATGGGTTTGATTCCAGGCCCGGCCTTCCTGTGTGGAGTTTGCATGTTCTCCCTGTACCAGCGTGGGTTTTCTCCAGGTACTATGGTTTTCTCTCGAAAACATGCACGGTAGATTAACTGATCTACATTGTCCCTAGGTGTGATTGTGATTGTGAGTGTGCATGGTTGTTTGTCTATTCGTTCCATGCAGCTGGTTGGCAACTAGTTCAGGGTGTACTCCGGCGACTACCCAAAGTAAGCTTGGATCGCCTCCAGCACGCCCGCGACACTCTTGAGGAAAAAGCGGTTCGGATAATGGATGGAAGGAAAAGAACCAGATGGAGTCGACATATCAGTGCAGAGCGATTTGAACAACAGCGTTGACATTTTACTAATTGCGGCCTTCACCGGGCACTGGATGGATTACACTCATTCATTAGAAACAAATGTACACTGATGGGCGAGCTAACAGCCATGCTTCTAATTGTGGAAGCTAATTAACATAACAAGGGTTGTCCAAATGAAGCAAACAATATTTATTCTCTGTACTGAACAATCCAGCTCACATTAGTAACTCAACATGAGTATTCTAGCGCGAACCAAAAGCTCTCCTGAGTTTACTGCTAATACAAGTTACCTTGCAGCAGACAAAGATGTGCCCTTTACAGAGTCCTAAAAGAGAGTAATAACAAATTAGTAGCATAAAATCAACATTTTGGTTAAACAGCTAACAGCAGACAAAAGATACTAAAAGAGAGTAATAACACTTCAAATTAGTAGCGTAAACCATTAGCAGGCGCTAAGTAGGTCCAAACAAACTTAGCAAACAGAAACAAGCCTCTTTAGCTGAGCTAGCTAACAGACGGTTTGTTTGTTTGTTTGTTTGTTTGTTTGTTTTAGCTAACGGGGAGTTACTAGGCCTCACATTTGTAGCATAACATTAGCATTTTGATTAAAAAGAAGACAAAAGGTGCACATTAAAATGATTATAGACACTATATGGCTTACTGCTTACCTTTATACCGAGCTAACTAGGTTTATGTTAACATTGCAACTGAGAAATAGCCTCGTTAGCTGGCAAACGGGCAGTAACTTGGCAAACCAACTCAGTCAATACAAATGTTAAAATTTGGAGCTTCAAGCTAGTCTTATTAGCTGAGCTGGCTAACAAGGCTTAGGCAATAATTAGGCCTCAACCTTGAAGCATATTGTTAGCTCTTCTGTTATTAAGTAGCATTAAGTGATGGCTAACATGAGTACATTGAGCAAACATTAATTCAATGGACATCGGACATTTCTTCTCAGCAATCACTTCCTGTCGAAAAAAATAAATTAAAAAAAAACCCCGAAACTACACACCAGATATTTTCACTTTGATTGCAAGGTACGCGACAGGAACTGATGGTGGCCGGATGTTGTGAACTTCACCGAAAAAGTAAAATAAAACAATAAAAAAAAAATCAACCCAGTGATGGCTCATAAATTGACAAACTTGACCCAATCCAAGATACAACTGCATCTACTTTTTGTGACATTCCTGTTTGGTGGCGTGCTCTGACATTTTTTTCAAATAGAGAATACTGTATGTGCCATGACTCAATATAGTTCTGTAAATGGTGATCTGTATTATTTGATGTATTTTGTTTTTTTGGGGGGGTCAGTGTTGTTTGTTGTCACTTAAGCGACTTAAGTGTGTTAAGGTAGCGCGTCAGCAGCGCGACACTCGTCAGAATCGCCTCCATCCCTTTTCTGTTGATAAATGTTTACGGCACTACATTAAGAGCAAATTACCTCTCCTTCTCGAGGCCGTGTCATCGTTCATCCGTGGGGGCCGCTGTCGTAAATTTGTTTTGCGGCACTTGGGCGGAAAGAATTAAGGGACATCTATCTTGTGGATGGGTGGTTGAAATGACAACTTGGCCTCCTGTAGGACACAGGCTGCATTGTGGAGTAACAGATTGGTGTGTCTTGTTGTTTTCGTGGTTGGTGGCGAAGGCGGGCCCACCACTTGCGCACGACCGTGCTGTGTCTTCTCCTGTGTGAGCACAGATGACAGGCTCGTGAGGAGAGGACTCAAAGCGAGTCCTCAGCGCTTTCACTTAGCAAAGATTTACAATAGGCTTCAAACAAAATGCATGCCAATCCCCACTGAGTCTAATATTAGTCCTTGTGCATCAAGGATAGGAAATAAGCTAAATAAGTTAA